CGAATTCACCCTTCAGCTATTCAGGGTTTTAACGGACTCTGCCTTGATTTCATTTATTAGGTGAATCTGTTTTGGTTTCCTTCGTTGCTATGAAAATGGATTGCGGTTCAGGCTTTTTAACAACTCAGAAAGACGGCAATGAAAGTAATTTATAGCCGTTTAGGTAAACAATAATTTTTTATTGATTAACTCAAACTTAAAAAAAAAAAAAATTAATAAAAAAAACATAATAATAACATAAATAAATAAACTATAAATTATTCATAATATAAGTTGTTGCTGCTATCGATAGCCTGAAATATTCCTGCTTAATAAATGAAATATAAATGAAACGAAATAAAATTCCTCTTGTTTCAGCTGATGTTTTAAATACCCATTGTGAGGGTATTGAAAAATAAAAGGCAAATTGTATGGGGATTTTTCTTACATTTAGTTCCGGAGAAAAAACGGGGCAGGCGCCGCCACAGCGTCCAGACAATGTGTTGCCGCCACCGCAAGCATCGCCTCCTTTATTTTTACCGCACAGCGTACGGCGGACTGCTCTTAACACTTTGCATACATTTAAAGTGTATTTTTTATACGGCTCGGCTCGGCAGCGACAGACGGAGGCAGCAGCGCAGCTGAGACATGTAAACAAACTCATTTAACTGATTTTCATGAAGAAAATGTGGCTCTTGGGCAACGGCTGATGGCCACGGCCGGAGTACGGCAAATTATCATCATGTCGACTGCGTTTTCCTTTTTCTCATTTTTTCTCCTTTTCTCCTTTTTTTTTTTTTTTTTTTTTGGTTTTGGTTTAAGCTTTTTGCTTGCAACTCTTTTGGCTCACATCCTGGGGCAAGATTTACATGTCACTCGACAAACTTTGAGCCTGAACTGACCTCAGCAAGTTGGCGGCCCTTCTCGGCTGTTGGCTTTAGACTGTCTCAAGTTGTGCACACAATCTTTGCATAATTTCTCGCACACTCTCGCCCAGCAAGTGCTAAGCGCTGAAACGGCAAATGTCAGCAAAAAAAAAAAAAAAAAAAAAATAGAAAAAAATAAGAAAAATAAAAGCCAGCAACAACTTTTTCTGAAGAAATAAAGCCGAAAAACGACGATGACAGCGAGTGGAGTTCGCTTACAAATTGCCTCTGGCTCAATGATGACTATCTGAAATTAGTGCCAGGCACAAGCAGGCCCTAGTAGCCACTGAATTAGCACACTTATTAGACTAACATAATCGACTATAAAAACGGCGGACTTATGCACATAATCTCTAGCTGCCCAACAGCCCGTGCATATCAAGTGGAAAAGTTATGCTAAGTCCATTTCTGTATCAGCATGAATGACAAAAAGTTCTGCATCTACTTCTTCTGATATAATTACTAAAAATAAATAGTATTTATATTAACTGTGAAAAATATAAACATTAGTAATAATGGAAATTTCATAATAATATTAAATGATTTCCATATGTCCTTAGAGACATTTCGAACAGTTTACATAGAGAGAAGGAAACAGTTTAGGCAGAATGAAGGCATAAAAATGTTGAATTAATTTATATATGTACTTTATTAAGTGCTCTGCAATATTTAGTGAATGTTTTGTCTAAAAAAATCCAAGCTGTTCGCTTTCTTCAAAAAGCAGACTTTTGTGGAGACATGCCCATATATGAACTATTTGCTATCATCAACAGCATTTCGAGCAATACTTAAGGCAGCTTTAAAGCACGTCTTTTGCATGTAATGCACTTTAGAATTTCAGCTTCATGAGCTAAACTTCAATCGAAATTCCTCTCAATTGCAGGTTACATTATTATCAATAAACATGCTTAGTTTAGTATTCACAGAAGCAAATCCCAGCCAATCAGAATACCAAACTGGATACAGCCTTCTGCCTAAACTCTCAAAGAGTTTGTACAGTTCAGCATTTATGTGACTATTTTAGTCTTAATACTTAATAATTATATTTACTAACTTATTCTATGGCAATATATGCCAGTAGTTGGCAACATGCGGAGCATCTTTACATATTTATCTCAATTTCTGAACCGAACTACTTTTAAATATTACTTAAATTTAATTGTCTTTTGATGAATTTCTCAAGAGAATTTCAACAGTTAAATTTTGATAAAATGAAGACACATCAAACTGATATGCTAAATATAGCTAGTGAAGAGTCCTGCGTGTCTGTATTTCACGCTGTCAGCTTGTCATGTCATGTAAATAAGTAAATATTAAATACGATATCGAGTGCATTTCAAGAGATTTCACATTGACTTAATGCTGTGGAAATCGAGAGCCGATTTCTGCTCCCCTCCGCCTGGCCCGATCCCGTTCCAGTTCGCTGCCATGCCGTATCAATGCTTTCGTATCAGACTTCAAGGTTGTCAGAAGTTTACTTTGAAATTGGAACAACAGAAGCTCAAACTTTGTACAGATGTAGTGGGGCAGGTGTACTGGGAGGGTGGTAGGCGGGGCGGCGAAGTGGCGTACGAATGCGCTAAGTCAAAGGATAATTGAGACATGTAAACAATATCCTTAAGTGCACAGGCAGAGGGATTGGCGCACATCAAAGGTCGCCAGCTGGAAAGCAATTAACACGACTCGCAATAAGCAGGCAGCTAGCATGTAGGCGCAGAATGAAAATATGAAAAATACCCACTCATAAAAGGATTGCAGCAGCAGCAGTGGCAGTAGGGGTGGTGCAGGTGGAGCCACCGTCGTGGTGGTGGTGGTGGCTCAGAAGTGCCTGGCACACACGCACGACAAAGCAGAATAATAAATTTCAATTCAGACGACGAGAGCAGCGCAGAGCGTCTCTGCCGCACGTTGACGTTGACTTCCACGTTGATAAGAAGCTGCCACAGCACTCATGCAGCCGTGCAGCTGCTCAGCCGGGTCGCCATGCATGCAGATGCTGGCCCACACGCTCTGCCACACGGCTGGCCTAAAGTGTGCGACGCAGAGGGCATCATAAAAAATGCGAATGCACAAAAAAGCCAGTGGGGAAAAAGCCTTACACAGGCCAGCAGGAGGAGGCAGCGCCGCCCTCACACTGACTGCAAAAAGGAAATGCGCAACGCAGCCCAAAGGTGTCATGCGGAAAATAAAGCATAATAGTCGTCCCCGTTATGCACTTTAGCTGGAGCGAGCCCACAGCCACAGCAGCTGTAATGGCAAAACAGAAGCCTAGACAGCCGTCAGTCATTCAGTCAGTCATTCAGTCAGTCATTCATTCAGTCAGCCAGTCAGTCAGTTGCTGCGACCTTTGGCTGTGCGTTGACTTACAGATGATGTATTTCTCAGCCGAAGATGCTGCGGCCTACGCAAAACTCTTGCATGTGCATATGTAAGCATTCGCATGCAGCTGCTCCTCCTCCTCCTCCTCTTGCTGCGAGTACGGACAAACACAGCGCTGTTTGCAGAATAAAAGCAAAAACCCACAGAAATTAAAATATCAAACGAAAAGTTGAAAATTAAAGCGAAAAGCCAAGCGAAGCTGGCTAATAAATTATGGAACTGTAGGCGTGCCGTCATCAAAGAACATTTTAAATTAGCCAAAGCCCAGACTCAAATACATGCTTAAGTCTTACGTAATTGCCTTTGTACATACGCATGCAGTGCATGCATGTGAAAGTACAGCACGAGCTTATAATTAATGGCTATCGATTTATGTGCAATTTCTCCTCTAAATGGAATAACAAATTCTGTTACGAAACTGTTTACTTTTATTTTATTTGATTTGATTTTATTTGATGTAACAAATATTTTTTCGAGTCTGCTGAGTAGCTCAAATGATGCATGCAAGGCTTTATGGATCCCATTGCCTTTATGGCCATGGATTTAAGTATTTGCAATGGGAAAGGTTTTGTTGATTTTTGTAAATGCATAAATTGGTGTTCACATATATGTATAAAGCACTCGGTTGACAATGCTCCTGATAAGCTGATAAGTACAAGCTGAAATATAGGGAAATATTAAATTAAAGTTTCAAATATAACTTATATATATAAGAATATTGTAGCATATTGTATTATAATATTACCATTGATAGGTAGCAAATATGTATATCTGTCTAACTATGATTGTCAAATTATCTAATATTTTATATTTATTTATTTATTTAATTATTTATTTATTTATTAATTTATTTATTTATTTATTAATTTATTAATTTATTTGTTTATTTAATTATTTTTTTTTATTGATTTATTAATTAATTAATTATTTTTATTTTTTATTTATTTATTTTTACTTAATTAATTAATTTTTTTATTGTTTTAAATTTTTCAAAATATTTAATTATTTAGGTTTTAATTTGTTCATTTGATTAGTAAACAGTTAAAGTTAAACTTTGCGTTTCGTTTCGACAAGAAACTAACATCTCCTGAATAACTCTAATTTATAATGATATTTAAGCGACTGCGAACGATGTCATGAAAGATGTGATTGAAATGAGTTCGAGTCAAATAGAAAACTAGAGTGCGATTGATGCAGAAAATACATAACGGAGAGTAAATGAAGGGTGCACTATGCAGATGAGGCGCAGTGTATGAGTCCTTGCATTCCCCATTAAAACTAATATATATAAAATGATTGTTTTGCTTTGTGTTCTTAATTATAATAGTTGAATGCGTTTTTCAATTTATTTATTTTGTTGTTTTTTTCTGTCTTTCAGTTTGCATTTGGCATAATGTGAAAAATGCACAAGGCGTGGCCGCATTACGAAAGTGGAGCTGCAAATCGAAGCTGTGCATGTGCAACATCTTGTGGCAGCCACACAGAGCCATGTCCAATGCGAAGCGACGACAACTGATGACGTCGAGGCAAACAGCCGCAACTGCCAACTGATTTGAAGAAATGAACATGACATGCAACAACAACAACCTTAACAACAACAACAAGCAACAATAACAACACAAACAATAACGACAAAAGTAATTTGAATTTGTGCGAGCAACAGGAAACAAAACAAAGCAAAGTGACAGAGACAGAGAAAGAGACAGACACGGAGAGAGTTAGAGAGAGCGAGAGAGGGAGACAAACAACGCAATGCAAATTGTGTGCATATTTTGCTTGTGTCTGTCTGTCGCTGCGCGTGTGTGCGAATGTTTGTTGTAGCTGACTGTGTCTGTGTGTGTGTGTCCGTGTAAATAAATGCTCTATAAAACGGGGCAGCAGCAACAGCAACAAAAGCAACAGCCAGGCGAAGCGGCAAAAAGTGCAGTTAAGCGTGGAAATTGCATTAAAAATTGAAAAAAGATGATAGCAAACACAAAAAACTAAATAAAAGCGAAAGAAAAGTGCAAAAAGAAACAGAAAAATCTTGCTAGCTAACGAGCGCTTAAAAGCACCAGACTGAGACAGCAATAGATAGCGCGACAGACAGAGAAAGAGAGAGAGGGAAAAAAGAAATCGCTTACTAAAATAGCAACAACAGAAAGAGTGTAAAAAGTTTTGATTGAAAATTTTCATTGTGCTTTCATTTGGCTGCGCTGCAATTGCAACTCACAAACACACACATACACAAATAAAAAAACAAATACAACATTGCAGTTGCAGCACGAACAACAAGGACAACAGTAGCCGCGCCGCCAATTTGTTTGCCCGAGACGCGCGATGCGGTGACTGTGTAAATTTCTGATTAAAAACGGCAACAGAGAAGCGAAAAGAAAAGGAAAAAGAAAAACAAAATCATAAACAAAAACTGGGCAAAGTGAAGCGAAATTGAGTATTGCAAAACAACAAAGCGAAAATAATAATAATAATAATAATAACAACAATAGGCGCGTGCATATATCGGTTGCATGCAACTCGTCGGCCACCCGGTGTCACACATACTTGCCACACTGTGCACTGTGCGAAAAGTGTCAATTGGAAGGCATCAGAAATTCAATTAAAACAAAACAGAAATCCTTTCGGAAAACTTTGAAATTGTTGACTCAATTGTTCGATTGTTGTTCACGTTCGACTCTGTGATGTGTGTTCGGGCTCGCGTGCGCGCTGTTTATTTTGTACTGTCCTCAGGCAACCAGCACGAGCAACCGACCTGTGCGAGCCAACTAAATTAGCCCAATATTTGCCGCATACAAATTAGAGGCAGCCCGCGAACACTAGGTGGCGCCACCCAAACGCTTGAGCGTCTTTAGCGTCTGCCGCGCAATAAAAGTCAAGTGCGTGGCCTTCTGCAGCCACTCGCAGGCAAGTGGCATTGTGTCATTCGACAAAGTAACGCATTGAGCGATAAGAGGCAACAACCCGCTCCACAAGCAGCGCAGAGCACAACACAACACCCACAAAATGAGCAGCCAGCAGAGGAGCAGCGTCAACAATGGAAGGTGGAGCAGCGCCAGCCGGGGCGCCAGCAGAGCGCTGATAGCGCAACTATTGCTTCTTATCAGCATCACATCAGGCTTGCCGGGTAAGTGCCAAGCGAATAAAATGTTCGTCCTGTCCCTGTTTTCCGCCCTTTCGCTTCCCCAGGCGATACCCTGCTTTTAAGAGGGGCCAACAATGTTGTTTAGCTCTACAAGCATCTGTACAAAGGGATGAATATGACTTATTTTCCCTTACCTATAGATAGTTTAAGTGACAAGTAATTTATATATACATTTATTGCTCTTTCTGATGGCTATTTAACTAATCAGTAGTCAATAATGGGGAACTTACGTGTGCCGAATTGTGTCATTATCAATTTTCCAATTTAAAAATATATCTGTTAAACTGTTTAGGCTCTCAAAGATCATACTGGTTATGCTCAATCAATCAATCACTATAATTTCCAGTGGTTTTTCAATATTTCTGATAAACATCTCACATATGTAAAGGGTATCTCTTTCTCGAGCACTTTCTTGCAGCTTCACTTCGCTGAGTTATTTTTTACCGGCTGACTTATCGCAGCCCAAAAATTAATGCAAATATTTAATGTGTTTCGTTTTTTTATGGATTTGTCGTTGTCATGGTGCTGTTAGCTGTTAGCACTTGCTCTGTGCCACACTTCCTTTGCTATTGCCTACGATCTGGGGCTGTCATCATCGACGTCGCCCGCCATCATAAAGATGACAGCGAGCCAGGAAGCTGCCGAGAGTCGGTGCTCCTCCTCTTGACATGACTCATAAATGGCTTTCGATTAAGTTGTCACATTAGCATTAATCTCGACATGGCTCTCTCTACCTCTCTCTACCCCCTCTCTCTCCCTGTGACTCCCTTTGGCCGTATCAGTGGCAGGCTGAGGCCATTGAAGTTCAATCAAGCTGTCCGGGCTGTCTGGTGTGCGGGAAGCGTGTTAATGAGCCGTGAGCCCTCATGAGTTGCTTTCGATTATGACGTTTGCGAGTCCTTCGGCCGGCATCCCGGCAAGTGCGGCAGCATTCGGAGCCCTGCATTTGCATGCTTGAGGTGCATTAGGAGGCTGGCTTCGAACTAGGTCAAGTCGCTACCGGGCAAATGGCATGCGCGCATCATACCACGAGAGGTTCGATACGCCACTGTAATTAGTTGGTTAACCTCATTGATGGTCCATTAGAGAGCGTTGCATAATTGAAAATTAATTACGCGCGCACCTGAAGCCAGTTACCTGCTCACGCACAAATTGCCGATTCTTACCAAAGTGCATTGCACACTTTCAATAAGGAAGCGGCGAGCCTTTAAAGTGAAAATCTCTGCGACTTATGGGAAAATGAGTGATGTAATTCGTTTTGTTTGTTTAGTTTGAGCTTGAGCTTAAAACATTAATCAACTAGGCCTTGGGCTACAATCAATTATGGCCAAGTTCGCCAGCGCACAGTGCGTATACGTAATGCGTATTACGTATACGACACATACGACGGCCACACCTAAATTTAATGGCATCGGCAGTTCGCTCAACGTTTCTCTGCTTGAATGATTTGAAAACATATTCACGTTTCCTGCCGAAGCGACAGCAAATCGAGCCCCAGCCCGAGGTTTTGTAAACATTTGATTGTTGGGCAACAACAATAACAGACGTAACAAAACAAAACAGTTAAATAATCATTTCGATACGCCGATAAATGCGAATGCGTATTATGTATAAGAAAAAAGCCCAAATCAACAGCTGCTCTGCTCTGCTGCTGCTGCTGCTGCTTTTTGGCAGTGGTTCGCACGACTTTCATTTAAAATATTTATGTACTTGTTTAATTTACAGAGAGAAGAAAAAATAATTACATTGTTGCTATGTTTTGTCAAATATTTTGCTGATATTATATGGATATGACTTCCGTATCGCTGAATAATCAATATTTGCCATTTCTTGCATGCCAATAAATTGCCATGAAATTAATTAAAAAGGCATTTCAAAACAAAAACTTTGCTCATGCGAATGGAATTTTTCAATCGAAAAACGCGCTTGGTTGTGTGCGTGCGAAGAATTTGTGGAAGCCCAAAGGGACATATTTTCAAGATAGTATTAAACAAATATATTCGGTGTATTTCATTCGAGTTGCTATTTCAAATGAACGAATTTCATTGTTCGTTTCACAAAAGGTAGTTAAAAAGAAATTAAAACTCGTATCCCAAAAAGAAAACAGCTTCGCCTGGCCATGGGGCGCCATAAGCAGAAATCTTTACAAATCGTAGAACACATAAATAAAACATTCGATTTTTATTGTTAACGCCAATAACAGCGCACAGCGAGCATGCGGGGAGGCGCGAGGGGAAAATTTTGTGTTCCATTTGTCGTTTTATGGCTGTGCCAAAAATTGGGCTTAATAAAAACTCGAGCGTTTCATAAAATTTATTATGTATGCAACACAATGGCAATAACAACAATCGATGCGGGGCCAAAAGTTAAGATCAGGCCAAAGCTGGCAAAGCGTCAAAACTTACACAGCATACGAAATGACGGCCGACTCCTGCGAAAATCAAAGCCCAAGGAACAAGGAAATGAACAACTTTATATGCAGGATAATGGTCAAGCCCATTATTAAGGCTCGTATCCTGCGTATATCTGCCATGCGTGCCTGCATCTCTTGGTCTTTTGCTAGCCTCTACTAAGCAGTGGCCGCACTTGCCTGACCGAATGTTTATTACGGCACACAGCTCCCAAGTTAAGGTCAAGTGATACTCAACCTTTGAGCGTACCCTAGGCACACTTTAAACAAAGACTTCTTTATTTGAATAAAGTTGTTGGCACGGTGATGCACTGCTTAATAGATGAAGTGATTCGATTTCAAATGCATATTAGAATAACCAAAAATTCAACATAATATATAAATTTAAAAAATTATAATATACAGTAAAATTCCATGAGTAAAACTCATACGTATATGTATGAAAGTCATAGTTGCTTTTAAATTTGAAATGCAGTTTGTATAAAGAATAAAAACTTGTTGACTTGAATTCCCATTTTAAAAAACATTACAATATCATTTAGAAATAATTATGATATTTAAAAAAATATATATATATGTTAATAATAATAATAATCATACTTATTAACTTTTGCAAATATTTTAATAAAATAATTATAATTTTTTTTTTTTATTTCATAATAAATTTTAAAAGAAAGTTCAGAAATATTAAAAAAAAAAGTTTTGAAGTAACTTTCGTTGATTATTATGTTAGCTAATTTAATGACATTTATGAACAATTTTAAATATTTTTATTTAATCTAATATTACTTTAGAACAACACACCAGCGCATTATTAAGATTATAAGCATATTCAGAGTATCTTCCCAATCAAGCTGTAACATATTTTGAGCATTCCTCTTAGCTTGTGTATGCTTGTATGTGTTTGTAATTGATGCCGTTTGAAATGCCATATTTTTTACTTACACATATCAAGGATTAAATCCTTTGCCAGACTCTCGAGCAACCGAAATAAAAAGTTCGCTATCGGAGCTACTATTTGGGATTGCAGCTGATAAAAGCTTTTGCCTAATGGCTGCCATCCGACAAACAGACTGAGTTACAGAGCAACAGAGACAGAGAGAGCGAGAGCGAGAGAGGGACAGTTAGGGAGTCACACGCAAATGGACCAACGGGTAGGCAAACTCGAGTATTAAAAGTCAAATTTATGTAAATCATTATGTAAACTGTGTGGGCGATATGCAAATACCAAAATGAAAATGGGAAAAAGAGAGAAAATGCTAGGCTATGGGTGAGCTACAGTCCAAACGTAGAGTCAGCATGACTTTTCAATTTCGAATGTGTTTAATGGGCTTTTATGGCGTCGAAGGGTCGCGTTGCCCCACGGGGCGAGTGAGAGGGGAAGCCATGCGAATAACTGACTGCAGTTGCCATCAGGAAACCCGCATCTGTGCACCTAACATGCGCGTGTGAGTGTGAGTATGAGTGTGAGTGTGCGTGTGTGTGATGCTAATGAAAATTGCAGCGCCGCTTCAAGAGTTGCCTTGGGCGCCGGGATTGAAAAGCTTGACCTTTTTGGGCGCGCAACAGCTGCCCACGGCATCTTTTAATTACTTGTCAAATAATTATAAAGCAGCAGCATAATCGATGAATAACCATCATAATCGATGCAACGACATCGCACTCAGAGCCAATCAGTTACTGCCTCTCGTGCAACAATTAAGCTCAGCATCAAATGCATCGCAAAACGCGGATTCGATATTCAGCAGAGAGTCACTCTGTAGCTAGCAGCTGCTATAATCATATATCAATCCTTATAGTGTTGCTAAATTGAATGGGTTTGATCTTGAATGAAAACTCTGATGTGAATGAAATAAATTTGTTCTATAAAAATTTGAATCAGTTATGAAGAAGAAAAGTTCCACGATTATACATTTTGTTTATTTATATTATTGGGGCTATATATATATGTGTCCACACATAATGTTTATGTTCTTTAAGGATAGAAAAAAGAAGAAATTAATTGTGCGGAATTTGTTTGTGATGAATAGATAGTATACTATAGATTTTTATGGATATGAATAATAGTCAATACTTTAATTCTACAAGAATCATATACATATGGAGTCTAAAGGACTCGCTTGTGGACTTTTTGTCAACTGCCTTATTCGCGATAACGGAATGTGCATACCCTGCTTATCCACTTTTAATGGGTGCGTGGAATGCAAAAGAAAAGAACACTGCCAAATGGGTTGTCGTCGCTGCGAAATATGAAAAATTGTCGTTGCTGTATGAAATGGGGCCACAGGATGTGGCAACAAGAGCTGTTCGTTTGGGGCGAGGGTGCTGCACGTAATGAAAATGTTGCTCATATGTAAATACCAGAAGCGAGTGCTTCTGTGCGTGTGTGTGTGTGTGTTTTCATTGTTTGTGCGATTGTGTGTTTGCATATTTGTGTGCAGATCAACAGGGACTTGTGCGAGTGTGCTTGTATATGTGTGTGAGTGTGTGCGCGACTGATTGCGCTGGGCTTTACGGGCTGTGCTATGCGGCATGCGCCTAATTAAATTAGAAATTAGAAAACGGAAAGTGG